TCTGTCCGCCTCCCCATCTCCCCTCCTAGCCACTGGAGCCCAGGGATTTCAAACATGTCCCACTGTGCCTGGCTTTCCTTGGTTTCTTCAGGAAAGCTACCACATTTGCTTGGCAAGTGCTCTATCCACCAGGTCCTCTCCCCAGCCCCTGTTTTGTTTTGGTTTTGGGAGTCTCCTGTAGCCCAGGCTGGCCTTGAACTCAGTTTGTAGCTGAGAATGATATTGAACTTACCCATCTAACTTTACCTCTCAGGTGCTGGGACCACAGGTGTGTGCCCCAATGCCTGGTTTATGGGGTGCTGTGAATAGAACCCAGGGCTTTGTGTGTGTGTACCAGGCAGGCATTCTACCAACTCCCAACCCTGGGAAAGAAGACATATGACTCAAAAAGCAAAGCTCATGAAGAAAAATACTGGTGGAATGGATGATATTAAAAGAAATGGCAGAGCGGGAGAAAATATCGAGAGCGCACAACCCGGAACAGCGCAGATCCACTGCAAGCAGTATACGGAAGCTGCTGGCGAGTGAGGCATATTCGGAGTCCATTCTGGGAGGTCTAGAATGGACCAGGCTGATTAACAATGTATGGCATCTGCATGCTTTATGATTAAGCCGTAAATCAGAGCACGGAAGCTGCGAGCCAGAGGTCTGCAGGGGACTTTGGGAGCCGCCAATGTTTACTTCTCCATCAGGGTGTGGGCTGCACAGGTGTTCTGGTTTTATTGCTCTGGGAGTTTGGCTTATGGACCTTCCTGTGTGCATATTTGAGAACTTAATGCCAAACTTTTGTTTATTTTTTTTAAAGTGTGGTGCAGGGGGCTGGCACGCAGGAATCGGGTGCTCTTCCGCCGGCATGTGTACCCACCTGCTTCTCACCGAGATGCGAATGAGACTGAGAACTCTAGCTGCAGCTGTTCCTCTCTGACTCAGCTCACCTGGAGATGCCCGTCTGGGCGCGAGCCCATTTCCTCTCTTGGAATTGTTCCCCGTTCCCTTTGGAGCCTGGGCTGACTGCCATGCCAAGCCAGGAGCACCTGTAGCCGGAGGCAGTCTCTGCCATCTCTTCCGGAACTGCTGGCATCTTTCTTTTCTGGATGCGGCTTCCTATACTCTCTTGGTGCACAAGCAGCTCTCTCTTACTCCTTCATCCCTTTGGGGTCAGAGCTCCTCCTGCTATGACCTCTGCATCAGGCACTTTAGCTCTGGCTGGCTGACTCACGTCTTGGCTTCTGGGTCATTTTCATCCACCCTGCCCTTGAATCTCCTGTCCGTGGTGAGACTCAGCTCTCTCACTCTGAGCTCTCATCCACTCAAATCCCTCTCTTTCTTTGATTGCTTTTTCCTCTAATCTGCATGCTCAAATAGCCCCTGCACTGAGGACAATACATGCACATATAATTCTATTTTATTTCTTTTGATAAGATTTTGTCTTAATATTTTTTATTTTGTGTGTGTGTGTGTCCGCGTGCGCGCCTCTGTGTGTATATCCTTGGAGGCCAGAAGAGGGTGTTGAATACCTGGAGTTACAGTCACATGTATTTTGAGCCACTCGGTGTAGATTCTGGGATTTGAAATTTGGTCATCATGATAAAATACAAACACTCTGAACTGCTGAGCCACGCCTCCAACCATCTCCCTCCCACTCCCATCTCCACCTAGAGGCAGGGTTTCATGTAGCCTAGGCTGTTCTTGAATTCCTGATCTTGACTCAGCCTCCCAAGTGCTGGAATTACAGGCATATGCCACCCAGCCTGTTCTGGGGAAATTCTTTGGGCATGTTTGCAGGGGATTATCTTGACTGAGTTAACTGTTGAAGCTTTTGCCCACTGTGGATCCCTGCCTGAGATCCTGAACTGTATAAACCAAGAAAAGGAATGCAGCAGTAGCATACACTTCTCACTGTTTGCCCCGTGGCTTCAGATACTATGTAACCAGCAGTAGCATACACTTCTCACCATTTGCCCCGTGGCTTCAGATACTACGTAACCAGCTGCTTCAAGCCCCAGTTGCCTTGAATTCCCCACGGTGATGTCCCGTGTCCTTGAACGTGAGGCTGAAAAAGACCCTTCCAGTGCAATGTAGTTTATCACAGCAACAGTAGAACAAACCCGAACAGGGCTATACAGACATACAGCGCCATCTATCCACTTACCGGTTGACAGGCATGAGTACCTAGTGCCCTTAACATGGTACTCGGGGAGTAGCACCCTTGTCTTCTGTGTGAGAACACAGTGTCCCTTCCTTCCTGTCCTTGCTTTTTTTAGTGTGTGAAGGACGCTTACACACGGTGCCACCGTCATGATCCTACTTGCACCTTCAGCTTGGGCTTTCCAGCTCCTAAGCAATCAATTTCTATTATTTATTATACCCAGCCCGTGGTATTTTGTTATGGCAGCGGGAGCTGACAGGTTTTAATTTGCATTTCCATGATGACGAATGATGTTGGGTGAGCATTTTCCCATATGGCAATATGTTATTTGTGTATTCTCTTTAGTGAAATGCGTGCGTGTGTCTTTTGTCCAATATTTTTGGCTTCTTGCCTTTTTATTATTAAACAGCAAGAGTTCTTTATTTTGGGTACAAGTTCTTCATCAGATAATATTTCTTCCCAGCTTGTGGTTTTCCTGTGCGTGAATGCGTGCGTGCGTGTGTGTGTGAGTGTGTGTGCATGCCTGTGAGTGTGCATATGCATACAAATGTGAATGGCAGAAGTCAAACTCAGTGTTGTTCTTCAGGAGCTGTCCTTGCTGGGACCCAGGACTCACCAATTAGAATAGGCTCTCTGGCCAGTGAGATCAGGGACCTGCATATGTCTGCCTCCAAAGCACGTGCCACCATGCCCAGCTTTTACGTGTGGTTGCTGGGGCTCAGACACAAGTCCTTGTGCTTTCACAACGTGCACTGAGCTATCTTCCCAGAATCACAATGCCTTTCCCCTTCCCCCACTCCCAGCTATCTCCCCAGCATCACAATGCCTCCCCCCTCCTGCCCCCTTTATTTTGGAAACAGTGTCTTATTTGTATAGCACACTGTGCTTGCCATCTTCCCCACACCCCTGGCACCCTGAGACAGGGGTTCTCTGTGTAGCCCTGGCTGTCCTGGAACTTGCTCTGTAGACCAGGTTGGCCTCAAACTCAGAGATCCACCTGCCTCTGCCTCCAGAGTGCTAGGATTAAAGGTGTGCGCTTGGGTTCGCTGTCTTAAGCCTCTTGTTTTTAGCTGGATGACAGGCCTGTACCACAATGTCTGACCACAAATAGTGAACAGGGATTGAGATAACCACGCCTGTATATTCTTTCTCCCTTTTCCCTCTCTTCTTCCCTCCTTCCCTTCCTTCAGCCTCCCCTCTCTTTTTTTCCCCTCTTTCTCTCTGTCTTTTTTGACACAAGCTTTTGAAATTTCACTATGTAACCCAGGCTGGCCTTTAACTTGGACCAATCCTCTTGCCTCAGCCTCCAGAGCGTTGATATTATAGGCATGAGTCACTTGGACTGGTTTCAGTCTCTTCATTTCTTAATAACTGGTTTTTGTTTTGGGGATTTATTTGTGGATGTGTCTGTGTGCAGTGCACATGGGTGAGGGCACCTGCTGAGGCCGGAGGGAGCCGGAGTCACAGGCTGTTGTGAGAGGTCTGAGGTGGTGCAGGGAACCGAACCTGGGTCCTCTACAAGAGTAGCAAGTGCTCTTGAACACTGAGCCATCTCCAGCCCCACGGTTCAGATTTTTATCCCATCCATTGATGCAGAGTTTTTAAAAAAATCTTTCCTAAGAAACCTGTGCCTACACTAGTATTTTACTATATTGTTCCCATTGGGGTTGTGTCAACTTACTTACATTTTTGGATCACTTAAAAATTTAATTTTTGTGTATGGTGTGAGGTAGGGGCTGAGTGCTCTCTCTTTCTTTACACATGTGTGTGCGTGCACACATGCACACATGTGCACACTCACACACACACTGCACAAAACCACTGTCTGAACATCCTTTGTTGGTGCTCGAATAAAGAAAGCATCAGTTGGTTTTTGCTAATTTTCAAAGTTAAGCACCAGTAGAAACACTCCAGTGGCCGGGTGTAGTGGCACCCTGTTCTAATCCCAGCCTTCTGAAGGCAGAGGCAGGTGGATCTCTGTGAATTCCAGGTCAGCCAGGAGCACAAAGTGAGATCCTGTCTCAAAACCAAAAATAAAAATAAAAACAAACAAAAAGCCGTTTCCTAGTTTTTCTCTACTCTAAATGTGGCCTACAGTCTATCCATATCACATCATGGGGCGCCTGTCAGAAACACAAGGCCGATACTACTCTGCCCCACAAGCCTCAGGTGGCTCACAGACACGACAATTTGAGGAACACTGGAGTGGCTGATATTTGAGGGATGAGGGGAAAATGTCTTAGTGACATTTGCTGACTCTCACAGCCTGCCTGTCCGTTGCAAGCTACAAGAGCTTTCTCCCGACTACCTCTCCCGAACATGTGTATCCCAACCCTTCTAGTATGCGATGCGATGTTCTTTTCTGCTACGTTTGAGGGGAGGGGACACACCCACCAGGACACGCCTCAACCTTTAAGATCCCCAGCCGCCTGCTCAATCAGCGATACCTTCCTATTGGCTCCTGCACACACACACACTTCAATACCCGAGCCTCAGTTTCCTCAACGGAAGCGAGGAAATAATTTTGGTGTCTGTATCTGGGGCTAATACCATGTGATCCCAAGAGTATGTAGGGGCAGAGAGAGCACAATAGAAGCCAGCTACTTCGGAGCTCATTCCCTTGGTGAAGCCCCTGGACATTAGTCCTTTTTCATGCAGCCCCACCCCCTCCCACCCACGCAGAATCCAGTCGCCTTTTTCCCAGCCGCACTTCTCCTCCCTCGCTCCTCCCCGTCCCCCAGGGCAGCGTGCACCGATAAATCTTTCGCAGCACGCAGCATTGTTGCAGCGGGTTGGCCGGGCTGCTGCGGGGTGCCCACCCCCACCCCCTGTTAGGCTTGCTAATGCCCCAGTGCAGCCTCTCTGCCTCAATCGGCTTTGAAGCCTCAGTCCCTGGCACAGTGCCTGGCACTTGCAGCACGCTCAATCAATGTTTGCAAAATCGGATTCTCGGCAGAGCAGGTGTCCACCGGGAGCGGTCCGTGCGCAGGGCGAGGGCTGCTAGGGGGCCGCGGTGCCGCGCTCCTCCCCTCCGGGCCCGCGCCGCGCCTCCGCCAGCGCGCGCTGCCCCGACCCCGCGCGCCGCGGCAGGGAGGGGCCGGCGGAGGCGGAGCCAGCGGCGGCCGAGGCTGGCGGCTCCCGCGCGGCTCCGGGTCACCGATCCTAGATCCCGGCGCGGCGAGGTAAGAAGCGGCGCTAGGCACACAAGGGACCGGGTGCGCAGCGGGAGGTGGCCCGGGGACCCGCCCCTCGTGTGCGCGACAGCCTCGCGGCCCACCCTCCCCAGAGGGGGGCTCAGTTCCCGGCCCGCGGTCCCCCTCGCTGCTCGGCGCTCGCGCATCCCGTGCGTCCGGCTTCTTCCCGCACCGCTCCGCATCTCTTGATATCACCCTCCCAGTTCCCTCTGGGGTTTCTCTTCTCCAGGCTAGACGCACTCGCGGTTTGTCCCCCAGATTCTTTCCGAAAGCTTCTGGAGTCGGGAGGGGGGTCGGGGGCGCAGCTGGAGGCCACCGAGGGATGCGCCCGGCGTGGGGGCGGGGGCCGGGGACTGGGTACCATTCTTCTGGCCTTCGATGTTGACTGATGCTCTGCGCAGCGTGCTGGCTCTACGTCTGCCGAATGAATGAATCATGAGTCCTTGTCCCTCTCTGAAGGAGGACTTTTTTGAGGTCCACGTGCTGCAGAGTACCTGGGGAGTGGGTCTCTTGAGAGAGGGTACTTGCTTCCGGTACAGCGGAAACTCAACTCTCCCTACTTCATTTCCTCTCTGCCTTCACACTGGCGGCCCCTTTGGATTGGGGGCTGGAGGAGGGTTGGGGAATGGGGGTTCTTGTAGGCCTTAACCAGGTACTTACTGAAAAGATGTTGCGGCAGGGGACTTGAGCAAACACTCTTTGAAGGTAGCAATAGAGAGGGCAGAGCTGTGGGCAATAACATCCTGCACAAGGCAGGCGGGGGCTCTCGGCACTACCAAGGTCAGCTTGGAAGAAGGGATCTGAGTACCTATTCTGGATCAAAAGTTACTTAAGGACCCCCCAGCCTCTGTTTCTTCTTCTGTAAAATGGGAAGCATTGGTGTTCATCTTCAAGGTTTTATGCATATTCAGAAAATATAATGTTTGGCATATTGGGGGCACCCAACAAACCTTGCTCTCTGCCCACCCACCCACCCCAAAAGTGACCGTTTTCTTCTCGTTTCTTCTGTCCTCACACAGGTCATAAGCAGATTCAGGTGATGTGTGTTCATTGCTGAGTGACTCCTACCCCACCCCACAAACTGCAGGGACAGTTGGGGACCTGCCAGGCACAGGCATGCCAGTGCTGTCCGAAGACTCGGGTGAGTGTCCTCCACCTGGGCTGCTTGTGCCAGGCCTCACAGGACTGGGGGAAATGAGAAGGAACAATACACAAAAAAGCGGGACCAGTCCTGTGGCGTCACCTCTGGAAGCTGCTGCCTGCCTACCCTGCAGACCTGAGCCTGCAGGGAGAAGGCTGCTGTCAAGGCAGGATGAGGGTGTTGTTGAGAGAGCTCTCAAGGACAGGAAGTCCCACTGTGGACTTTGTTTTCCTCTCCTCTTCCTCAGGTTTGCATGAGACCCTGGCACTTCTGACCTCTCAGCTCAGGCCTGACTCCAACCACAGGGAGGAGATGGGCTTCTTGAGGGACGTCTTCAGTGAGAAGAGCCTCAGCTATCTGATGAAGGTGAGAGCCTGCTCGGCCTCCTTTCCCGTCCCTGGCCAAGGGAGGCCCTTCCCTGGGTCGCTCCAGCCATTTCCCTGCACTGTGAAGGTTTTGAACTCACTAGGCATGGCTTTCCATATACACTGCTATGGAGAGGACCCTGTTTGTGGCCCTAGGTGTCACCCCCAACCCTGGGTGCGGTGTGTATCTTTACAGATTCACGAGAAACTCCGCTATTATGAGAGGCAGAGCCCGACCCCTGTCCTGCACAGTGCCATGGCCCTCGCGGAGGATGTAAGTCCCAGACTTTCATATTTTGGTTTAAGGTGAGGCAATACTCCAGACCCAGAAAATGTTCTTGCTCGCCTTGTAATCCCTGCTTAGCTGGAGACCTCAGAGGCTGGGAGCCTGAGGACGAAGAGGGAGGGGTCACTTTCTTTTCCCCCTTCTCTACCTCCTTTATCTCGCCCCCTCCCGTGTGTGTGTGTGTGTGTGTGTGTGTGTGTGTGTGTGTGTGTGTACATGTGTTCCTGGGGGGCAAACCTAGATCTTTGTACATGCTAAGCAAGTTTTGTATGGCTGAGCCGTAGCTCAAGTCCTCCCTGAACTTTCTGGCATCAAGGAGGGCCTTCTTAGCCTTAGCCTGAGCCAGGAGACATGCCGATTCCTGCTGACCGTGTGTTCTGGAGCAAGCCTGTTCCCTCAGCTGTAAAATGAGAGCCTTGGATCCTATCAGTAGCTCCCCACCTGTTCCTGGTGATATTAGTAGGTCAGAGAGTGTCTTGTGTCTGGGCTTTGGGAGGCTGCCATGAAGTCTTGAATTCAAGGGACTTACTGTGTGTGTCTCTGCTGACTAGCTGTGGCATCTTGACTCAGGGACCTTAGTTCTTGTGGTTTTCGGTTTAGATATGCGGGTTGTTAATGCAAACTGACTCCTACATAGATCACCTGATATCCAACTGGTTAGCTGTTCTGTTTCCCAGAGAGCCTCAGGCCAGAAGATAGCCCTGTGGGGGACCGTGTAGTCTGTGACAGACACAGTGTGATCATTTGGAGTGGGTTACATCCTGGGCTCTGTATTGCCAACTTTGCCACTGTGTGACCTTACACAAGTCACCCAGCCTCTCGGCCCCAGTTTTCTTGTCCTTGGGATAGCCTAGTATCAAGGGCACAGACTGTCCGGCTGAATGAGGCTGGGTTTAAATCCTGGCTGTGCCACCATGAGCTCTGTGATCCTGGGCAAGACTTGTAATCTCTCCGGGCCTCAAGATTCTCATCCGTAAAGAGCAAAATTCAAGTGCTCATGGTGTCTGGTTTGTTGAGAAAACCCACAGAAAGCAACAGCGGCTAGCAGGTTTACGCTCTGCCCAGGATGCCCCCACATCCTCCACCCGTCCTAGAGTGGCAGATCTGACGTGTTTCTGGGTGCCGCAGTCATTTCTGAGGGGATCCTCGTGACTGAGGCCCAGGAAAGAGGGATTTCCCCCCAGGGATTCCAGCAGACTCCCGCCGGGGCATCCCAGACTCCTGTCTCCTTCTCTTACAGGTGATGGAGGAGTTGCAGGCCGCCTCGGTGCACAGTGACGAGAAGGAGCTGCTGCAGCTGCTGTCCACGCCCCATCTCAGGGTAGTCAAGCTGCAGTCCCTGCACACCCACGCAGATGGGTCCCCTGGGACACGGGGGTGGAGGGACTGCTGGGTCCTGAGATGGAGAGGGGGAGGCTTCTCTGTGAGGTGATCCTAAGTGATGTCCTGAGGAAGGAGACGTTTCTTGGGCAGAAGATCTGAGCCCCCTTTCCATCCCTGCCCAGTCAGGACCCCCCTAACCCTGTGAGGGCGTAGTGCCAGCCCGTTTCCCTGGCTTTCCTGGCAGGCTGTGCTCATGGTACACGACACGGTTGCCCAGAAGAACTTTGATCCTGTTCTGCCCCCTCTGCCCGATAATATCGATGAGGAATTCGAGGAGGAGTCGGTGAAGATTGTTCGCTTGGTGAAAAACAAGGAGCCCCTGGTATGTACAGTCGTCCCCCCCCCCCCCCGACCCCATTCCTCTGCAGCTCACCCTGGCCTAGACAGCCAGGAAGGCACCGTCTGGAATTCACAGTGAATGGCATCTTCTTTGCCAGGGTGACCGCTCTCCTCTGCAGCATCTTTGTGTGCAGGACACTCTTTGTCCTGATTGGATGCAGTGCCTCTCAATTTCGGCTAAGCCGTTTTGTGCAGTGCTCACCCTACAGGGCTGTGTAGGGTGACCGTGGTCGCTTTGCTGAGAAATAGGAGTTCACAGACTCAGTCCAAGGTCCAAACGTAGCCTACAGCTTACTTTTGCTATCTGTTTTTTTTTTTTTAAAGCAAGGTCATGCTTACTCATTTGTCATGAGAAGTTGAGTAATGACAGCGGAACCCCGGCTTCCCCTCGAAGCCCTAGATATGTGTGCTCCGTCCTTTCTAGACAGTTTGCTGACCCAGCTCTGTATACCCAGGTAGTGTGGGCACAGCCACACTCTCCTGGAGCCTGACAGATAATGCCGTTTTTGCCCCTGCTTTCAGCAGCGATGAACTGGGCAAAGTTTGTCTATCAGATGGGAGGAGCTGGTGGGTGCTCAGAGAGCTTAGTACTTGCCTCAGAGAACCCCAGAACTGGCATTATCTGGTTCCAGTTTTCCCCAGCTGACCTCTGACGGGCAAGCCATGTCTCCCAGCAGATGAAGATGTCCCCGTTGCCTCTGCTTCCTCCCGGGATCCTTCCTGTACTCTCTCAGAGCTGGGGGTGGAGGTGGTTCAGTGAGGACAATGTGCTGTGCAGTGGTGGGGACTTTGCAGGTCAGGGAACAATGGCATTGGGAGGTATAATGGACATCTCTGTAGTCAGCAGAATTCATTGTCTGTGCTTCTCATGACGATACGAACGCTGTGGTAACAAATGTGCAGTGTTTGCGTGGAAAGTCAGTAACACATGGCGGACATTTATTGGACACTTACTGTTTACCTGTTTCGTGCGTTTCCTTATGGGATCCCCTCCACAACCCTCCGAGTTAAATGCTCTCCCCCATCCTAGAGGAAGCAGGCTCAGAGAACGCAGGGACTTCTTGGCTGAGGCCACATGATTTCTAGTTAATGAATGGCTGAGCTGGCTCTCTGGGCTCAGCTTCCGCACACCCCATCTCTGTGCTGACATGGGCCTCCTACCTGGTACAGGAAATTAGGAGCTCATTAGTGCTTTTTTTTGTCCCAGAAATCATCTCTTTGTGTTTCTTGGGCTAAATCCTGGTCCTGATGCACTGGCAGGGGCATAATTGGTTCCTGTTGGCAACAGCAGAAGGCCCAGGAACACCGGGATTGGCTTGTGGCAGGTTGGGAATTTGCTAGCACATGTTGTCCTCGTTATTAAATGTCTTTGCGAGTGACAAGGGCTGTGACGAGACAGAGAGAACACTGGTGTTGGCATCATCAAAGGCTCCCCTTTCTACGAGGGTGACTTGGAAGATTCTTAGCTTCCCTGATACCCAGTCCTTCGTGTCTTATTTATTTATATAACAGTTTAAATTGAATTTGTTTTGTGTGTGTGTGTGTGCTCGCGTGCGTGCGTGCGTCGCAGCACAAGTATTGAGATGAGAGGGCAACTTGTGGGAGTTGGCTCTCTTGCTGCTATGTGGGCCCTGGCGATGAGACAGGCATGGTGGGAGATAATCTCTACTAGCTGAACGATCTCACTGGCTCGATTTAATTATTGTTCTTTCTGAGGTAGAGTCTCAAATAGCTCGGGCTGGCTTCAAACTCACGGCGTAGCTGAGGATGACCTTGAACTCTTTATTCTCCGTGCTCCACCTCGGGAGTGCTTGGATCTCAGGCGCGCGCGTGCAGCGTCACTCCCAACTCAAAAGGCCCAGTTCTTTGTGTAGAATGATCCCTGTGCTTTGTAAGCTGCAAAGTGTGGAGTTTTCCTCATTCTTTTCTCCTGGTCTCCTGGTGTTTGCAGCCTTGGGAAGGTCCCTACCGATCCACTTTCCTGGCCTACCAGGAGGAGGAAGGAAGGAAGCAGGGCCAGCTGAGGTTGCCTTGCTGGAGCCTGCTTGTTCTTGTCTCTCATCCAGGGTGCCACTATCCGGAGAGACGAACACTCAGGGGCCGTCGTGGTGGCCAGGATCATGCGAGGGGGCGCGGCAGATCGGAGCGGTGAGTGGACCTTGTGGAGTGAGGAGATGCCAGCCTGGCTGAGGTGGTGGCTCTCCATCTCCACCTCTAGGGTAACCTCTGTGGGGCGTGTTTCGCTTTGGGGATTGTGGATGGAGTTCTCAAGGTCCCAAGGTCAATAGGAATTTACCTGAATCCTAAGAGGCTTGGAGTTCTCACGGGTGATCAAGAAAGGGCTCGGGCATTTGGTGTAGGCAGAGATTAAAACACTGAAGTTTGGAGATGGACTTAGTTGGAGATTTTTTTGCTGGGGTGGGGATGGTCCTCGTCACCTAGAGTAACCTCACCACCTGTGACACCGCAGTGGACAGGAATGTGTTCGTGACCCAGATTAGTTTGGGTGGTAAACAGGTTGACAGTCTTTAGTGCATGGGAAATCTCGCTGTAGGGGGATGTTACCTTCCATGTCTGGAAAACTGACTGGTGAGGCAAGCACAGCCCCCTGAGCATATTGGTAACACAGAGGTCCTGATTTAGAAATCTGTACTCCTAATGGTGGCGGTGGTTGCTGCTGGCCCAGTGCCCACTCAGAGCCACAGAGAGGCTAAATTACGTGTCAGGAGAGTTTCATTAAAGTGGTGGCTACGTGCTGTGGGTGGTGGCGCTTGTACCTGCAACCTCAGCTGCTTCAGAAGGGACGATTCCTTGCATACAAGAGATCAAGACCAGCCTGGGCTACATTAAAAAAAAAAAGCCCGTTAAAGTAAATAAATAAGTAAATGAAGCTAGGTTGAGTGAAGAGCTAAGTTGGTAGTAGGCTTGTCCAGAAAGCATGGAGCCGTGGGTTCCAGCTGCATAAAACCAGGCATGGTGGTGCACATGTGTAATCCCAGCATGCAGTAAGTGGAGGTAGAAGGATCGAAAGTTCAAGGTAGTTCTCTGCTACAGTGTGAGTTTGAAGTCAGCCTAGGCCACCTGCATCTTAAGATAGATGGATAGGGGGCTGGAGAGATGGCTCAGAGGTTAAGAGCATTGCCTTCTCTTCCAAAGGTCCTGAGTTCAATTCCCAGCAACCACATGGTGGCTCACAACCTTCTGTAATGGGGTCTGGTGCCCTCTTCTGGCCTGCATACACACAGACAGAATATTGTATACATAATAAATATTTAAAAAAAAGATAGATGGATAGGTAAATAGGTAGGTAGATGGATACATACATACATACTTACATAGCTATATAAATAGATACACAGATGAGTGATAGGTAGGGTAAGTAGATAAATACATACATAGATAAGTTCTGGTGCCTGAGGGAAGATAATGCTGTCCTCTGAACTCTACATGCACGTGTGCACAAGTATCCACACCTTACACTTAAACACACACACTCTCTCTGTCTCTGTATCTAAGCAGAGCTTTGGCAGAAGAAATACAGCTTTCTTCCTTCCTTTCTTTTTTCTTTCTTCCTTCCTTCCTTCCTCCCTTCCTCCTCCTCCTCCTCTTCCTCCTCCTCCTCCTCCTCCTCCTCCTTCTCCTCTTTCTTTCCCTCCCTCCCTCCCTTCCTTTCTTTCTTTTGACAGCATTTCTCTGTGTGTAGCCCTGGCTGTCCTGGAACTTGTTTTGTAGACCAGGCTGGCCTCAGACCCATAGAGATCCTCCTGCCTCTGTGTCCCAAGTGCCAGGATTAAGGGTGTGTGCCACTACCCCCTAAATACAGCTTTCTGTGCTGAAGTGCCTATGCGTGCTTGGTAGCTCTGTTACTTCTTAGCAGTGTGGCTTTGTAGGGCTGTTGTATGTGCCTGGCTCTCAAATGTACCTTGTACTCGGACACCTCCCCAGAGGAGGGTTTGAATTTGATACTGAGCACGCGTCCCTCTTCTCCAGCTTTAGACCTGAATCTGCCCTGCAGTGACTTCGCTAGTGCCCAGAGGCATGAAGCCCAGCTTCAGGGCCACTGTTTTAGTGCTGAGCCAACCTCCATCCCTGTGTCTCCTAGGTCTGGTGCATGTCGGTGACGAGCTCCGGGAGGTGAACGGGATCGCTGTCCTGCACAAGCGTCCAGACGAGATCAGTCAGATTCTGGTCTGTGTAGCATGGCTGCAGGGTGGGGGGGGGGCATCTTCAGAGACCCAGCATGGGGGCTTCTCAGCCAGAGCAGCCCCTGCCTCTGCTTCCCTGTTTGTGTGAGGATGGGGCAGACCGAATGGTCTCCGGTTCACCTGCCTTCCTCTCAGTTCTACTCTTCGGCATAGTCCTTCCTCTCCACCCCAGCTCTGTTGTCTGAGGACCTTTCAAGTCTCGGTTTACCCTAGTCTAACTGACTTCCAGCCTCCTTTGCACTAACATGGGGACAGAGAGGGTTTTCCAGCTAGTGCCTGGTTATTATTAGCATGGAAGAAGGGTATCAAGTGCTTTATAACAGTGAGAAAATTCGGGGGGATGAAAACAGTGTTGTCATCTGTTCTGGGGCTATCCTGTTCTTCCTCCTGGACTCTGACACTGAGGTGCAGGCCTCTGAAGGGAAGGGAACCGCCTAGAAAGGTGGGGATGGCCTAAGATGGGAGCCCTGCGGAGGAGTGGTACCAAGGAAGGAAGTACTGATCAGGCAGGACCTAGAATAATTTGACTGAAGTGGGTTATTAAAATAGCCCACGAGAGACTGGAGAGACGGCTTAGTGGTTAAGAGCACTGACTGCTCTTCCAGAGGACCTAGAATCAATTCCCAACACCCAAATGGTGGCTGACAACCATCTATAAACCCAGTGCCAGGGGATCTGATGCCCTCTTCTGGCCTCCACAGGCACCGGACATGCAAATGGTGTATGGACATACATGTAGATAAAACATTCTTTATACATAAAAAATAAGTAGAATTTAAAATAACGCAAGAAGGGGAGGCCATGGGACCCCCGAGAGCTGGTGCTTTGGGGACCTTGAGTTCTAATGAAAATCTCCAGTCTCTGTGTCCCATGTAAAGGGAGCGTTTTCGTTTCCTTACGCGGTCTATCCCAGGCGGTCCACATTAACTGCCTAGGCAGACACTTGATTCTTAATAACAAATCCCACCTGGGCAGAGGAATGGAAGCCATCAGTCTGCCTTCATTCTGAACCCCCACCTAGGAAGTGGGACCGGAACTCACTGAGCATCGGGTCTAGAAAGCCATCGACCACTGTTCCCTCTCCCTTCAGGCCCAGTCCCAGGGATCCATCACCCTCAAGATCATCCCTGCCACCCAGGAGGAAGACCGCTTCAAAGAGAGCAAGGTATGGGGGAGGTGGGCTCCCTGGGGCTTGCTCTGCTGAGGCAGGGTGGGTGTCTGAACCTTGCCAGGCTTTGGTCGCCGTAGTCTGAACAGCTTGTGCATCTGGCCCCAGTAACCCTCCCCAGCCAAGGACTCTAACAGTCCTAGGAGACTCATTGCACCCTGCTGTTTGGAAACAGGATTTTGCGTGGTGTGCTAACAAAAGACAAGCTTACTGTAATTGAGTAGAAAATCTGGGCCACGGAGAGAAGGTGCTTAGGAACTGGATCCCGGATCAGTGAAGTTGCTGCTATTAGCTTGGTTGTTCGCGGGGCCTACCTTTGGTCCTGACCTCTCTGCCGGGCTCTCTGTCGGAGTGTTTTTACTGTGGAAGGGGGATTGTCGAACTGCTGTGTGGCAAGTGGTTCTGGAAGAGTCTGTAACGCGAGAGACATCTCAGGAGGCATTTCGGGTTGGATGCTGGGGTTGGAGAGAGGTAAAGATGGTTAGAATTTCAGAGAGAAGGGTCAGATCAAGGCATCTGTAAGACAAAGGCCTGGAGGAGTCTGAGAGAAAGGGCAGTGTGGGAGGAGCATCGCTGGGGATATGGGTTCAGCTGTGAAGGGCTTGGCACAATTCCTGCCTAGTTTGGGTGCTCCTATAAGCAGACCGTGGCTGAAGGGTTTGAAGGCACACAGTTTATTTGGTGGGAAGTGAGCCAGGCTATATGGGTAGGGAGCTGAGGGAAAGGACAGGAGAATTTGCTGGAGAATTTGCTACCCAGAAGTCACCACCCACTGAGGTTGCCTGAAGCTTAATCCCAAAGGGCTTTGGGGATCAGAACATGTTGCTGTTCTCCCCAGCCAAGAACTGGGGAGATGTGTACATAACTCCCAGCAGGCACTGGGGCTTTGTTCTTTGTAGCTGCAGACTGCTAGATTAGAGAGGAGCAAACTCAGCAACCGCAGGATGTAAGTCCTCAGGCAAAGGGGTGCAGGTGTACCCTGAAGTCAGCCGGCGTGCACTACAGTGGTACAACCCTGGGGGTGGGAGCACAGCCCAGAGCCCAGGAGACAGCCCCACCGTGGGAAGAAGGCCTACTTCTTGGGTCTGTGGGGCTAGTGCCTCTTAGCATGGAAATCAAATGAGAACTAGCAGGGGTCGGTTTGCTCCTTTTACAATGTGGGTTTGGGGGCTTGAACTCAGGTCATCAGGTTTGGCGGCAAGTGCCTTTACCTGCTGAGCCCTCTCCCCTGCCTTGGTGAGAGGTTAAGGGCACTCTGATCATAAGGGTGTTTCTGAAAGCTCTCTGGACAGCCCAAGCTCTCTGGGAAGTGGTTCTCAACCTTCCTAAAGCTGCACCCCTTTAATACAGTTCCTCACCTTGTGGCGACCCCCCTCCCCATGAAATTACTTTGTTGCTACTTCCTAACTGTAATTTTGTTACTGTTATGAATTGTAATGTAAATCTCTGATATACAATCCCCACAGGGTTTGAGACCCACAGGTTGAAAACCGCTACCCTGGAGGACCTGGAATGGGTGAAGGTCAGAGGCAGGGAGGTGCAGAATGAGGCTGTTTGGAAGCCCAGGTGGGAGATTATTGAGGATGGCAGAGGGTATTGATTTGATTTCATGATGAATTTGGACTTGAAGTTCTTGGATGTGAGGCAGAAAGGAGAAAAAAAAATAAAGAGTTTTTATCAGGTGGTGAAGGAGCAGGCCAACCAGCCTTGCCACTCTGTGCTGAGTGTTTGAAGGAAGGCTCAGGACAGCTTCTGGCCCGGCAGAGGTGCCAAGACACTATTGATGAAGGGCAGGTGATTGGGGACAGCTGGTGTCCCCCTGGCCTCTTGTTTTGCAGCCACTGAAGGACCTTGCCGTGGCTGTTTCTTCCTAGCGCTCTTGGATTAACTCCCAGGGCATAAATGACATTGACCCCAGTGTGGGGTCACACTGTGGACTTGATACAGGAGAAGAATGTGGTACCCTGTCCCTTAGCCCTGTCCTCTTAAATCTTTCTTTGTGACCTGCTCTGTCTGGACAGCCACTCCCTGCACTATGGTGTCTGTATTTGGGTGAGGGTGTCTGTCCCTACCTCAGAGGCCCAGAAGGTTCTTACTGTTGTCTACTTTAATCTTTTGTTTTTGTCGCATGAAGGAATCTCACTCAGGCGCGTCTGAAGATGACCCTGATCTCTTTCTTTTCTCTTTGCCACTGTAATAATGGGGCCATGCAGTCTAGAACTAGAGTACTTGCCATAAATTCATAGCACTGGGTGACGAGGGAGAAAGAGGTGGGAGGCAGCTCTGTGTCCTTTCCCGCCTTCCCCAGAGAGGAGACTTGGCCAAATACATGGCAGACAAGGCAAGGTGGGGCTGTCAAAGCTGTGGGTGCCCGTTACAGACTTGGGAGTCGACCAAGTTAGTTTTGCTGACATCTGGGTTCCTTCCTCTGAGGACCTCTGGGTCCTTCCTTGCATAGATGGCGCCTGACTTCATCAAGAGCAGGTCGTAGTAAAAGTAACAATGGTTGCACATTGTGTGTGTGTTTGCTTCGTGTCTCCAGGGTTAGTTGTTACTTAGTGTGGCTGAGGCTCTAAGCATGGCGGATCAGGGCCACAGGGAAACATTTCGGTTAGAAAGAGAAAGTCAGACGTGGGACCTGTCTATATATTTTTTTTTTACGTTTTCATTTTAATTAAGTAAGATTGTGTGGGTGTGCATGCGTGTGTCATACCACAGTGCACACACAGAGGCCGGAGAACAACTTGTAGGGGTTGCTTTTCTCCAGTGAAGAGAACTGGGGGCCGGAACTCAGTTTGTCAGGTTGGCATGTGAAGCGCCTTACCCATTGGCCCCTGTTTTCCGAGCCTGTTTGTTTGGTTTTGGTGTTGGTGCTGCTGGGGATGGAAGCAGCATCTCCTAGGTGCTGGACATGCACACTGTGCCACCGAGCTATTCCCCAGCCAGGCGTTTTCCTATTACCTATGGATTTCTTGACTTTAAATATCGCAAATGGATGAAGAACCCTAAGAAACAAAAGCAGGGTGTTTCTAACTAGCTTTCTAAACTACAGGCCACTGTGTCGTCTAACTATGAAGGGCTGCTGTCATTATGTGGCCTGTGCCCTTATATAGACGGGTCCCCTCACTGTAGCCCTTGCCTTACAGGTGTTTATGCGTGCCCTCTTCCACTATGACCCTCGGGAGGACCGTGCCATCCCCTGCCAGGAGGCAGGCCTGCCCTTCCAGCGGAGGCAGGTCCTGGAGGTGGTGAGCCAAGACGACCCCACCTGGTGGCAGGCCAAGAGAGTGGGAGACACCAACCTTCGAGCTGGCCTCATCCCATCTAAGCAGTTCCAGGAGAGGTAGGTTTGGGGTGTTGCTGCCCTGTGACTGATGGCCCAGGTACTCTGAAACCCAAAGCCCCTGAGTCTCTGTCACTTCAGTCGTGGGGGAACCTGCTGACGGAAATACAGTTTCCTTTGTGTCTGTGTCTGTTCTGGTCCCATAGCTAGTGGAAATGGCTGTTGGAGATTTCAATAAATGCAGGGACTTTGGCTTTTCTTTTTCACTATTGGGAATCAAATCCAGGAACTGACGAGGCACACGCTCTACTTGAGCTACAGGTCCAGCCTTCTGTTTCACTTTTCTGTTTAGAGACAAGGCCTCGTTAAGTTTCCCGGGCTGGCCTTGAACTCATTCTTTTTTTTTTTTAAATATTTATTTTATTTATTATATACAATATTTTGTCTGTGTGTATGCCTGCAGGCCAGAAGAGGGCACCAGACCCCATTACAGATGGTTGTGAGCCACCATGTGGTTGCTGGGAATTGAACTCAGGACCTTTGGAAGAGCAGGCAATGATCTTAACCTCTGAGCCATCTCTCCAGCCCCTTGAACTCATTCTTTAGGTCAGGATAGCCTTAACTTGCAGACCTTCTGCTTCAGCCTCCCTTCAGGCCTCACATCAGGACCAGCTAGAACATTTGAACTGAGTTAATGCATACAGTTGTCCGTTACTATACTCTGAATATACTTCTAGAACCTCTGGATACCAAAATCAATAGGTGCTTAAGGGCCTGTCCAAAATTGTATTGTATTTGCATATGACCCTCTCGCCCCCCACACACATTGTCTTGGTGCTATGACTCTTCTCTGGATGATTTCGGATGCTACACTGTAGTGGTTTAAATAAGAACGACCCCCATAGGCTCATGTTTGAATGCTTGGTTCCTGTTGGTGGCACTGTCTGGGAAGGATTAGGAGGTGTGGCCTTGTTGGAGGAGGTGTGTCACTGGGGTGGGGCTGTGAGGTTTCCAAAGCCCATATCATTGCTATTGCCAGCTAGTTTTCTCTGCTTTGTGCGTGTGGGTTGTGGGCCCTCAGCACGGTTCCAGCACCATGCCCGCCTGCCTCCATGGTCTCCATCATGATGGTCATAAACTCCAGTCCTCTGGAGCTGTGAGCCCCAAATTAAACTCTTCTCTAAGTTGTCTTGGTCATGGCCTCTTATCACAGCAATAAAGAAACTAAGGCAGCTATTCCGTGTAAGGGCCATATGACAGGTTGGCACGCTGTATTCTGCAAGGACAAGGGGAAGAGAGTAAGTACACAGCCAGTGTAGGCTAAGGGGTTTTCCCCAAATGTTTTCAAGCTGCAGTGGGTTGAGTTTGCTGATATGGAGCTCACGCACAATGGGCCGATGATACCCTATAACATGAACTAGCAGAGAGTGGATTGATGAAGAACATTCAGAAGGGGGACTAGTAAGAGAAAATTACCCAGAGTCCTGTGCGTCCAAAGAGCACAGTTTGTCTCCCATCTGTGCTTTCTCTCTGTGTGTGTTGCACCCAGGGTTTCCTTTTTTTAACTTGAGAGTTTGACATTAGCATTTCCCGTGTTTGCATATTCCTCGTATACCATCTTAATGCTTATGTAATATTTCACGAGGAATGGTCACTTGATCGTGAGCTGTATTTATTAGGATTGGTTTGGCTTGTGCTGTATATCTTTTAAAAATCATTTAATGTGTATGTGTGTGCCTGCATATATGTTGTATGCACTGTGTGCATGTAGTGGCTGGGGATGTGGACATCAGAAGAGGGCATTGGATCTCCTGGAGAACTGAAGTTACAGATTGTTGTGAGCTGCCATGTGTGTGCTGGGAGTCAAACCTGGGTTCTCTGGAAGAGCAGCGACTGCTCTCAACCACTGAGCCATCTCTACAGCCCCTTGTCATTTTTAGTCATATATTGTTGTTGCTGTTGTTACTATTGTTGTTAGTGTTAGTAGCGTTGTTTTGAGGCTGGGTCTTGCCGTGTAGTAGTACAGGCTGACCTTGAACTCATGACAGTCTTCCTATTTCAGCCTCTTGAGTGCAAGCCAGAATTCCTGGCACTTGTGTTAGGCTTCTTAACCTCAGCTGTGAACCCTTGCTCTGCCTTGAAGGAACTCACAGTGAAGAGGAAAAACCAGACCTCCTTCCAACACACACTTTATGTAGGGGTGACTGGTGTGAGGGACGTTTTCTTTGTAATCTTGTACCAGGAGCACGAACCCTTTCTTGTCCAGGCATGCAGGGAAGGCTTCACGGAGGAAGGGTCGTGCCTGAGCACTGTCTGACTTCCCTGTGGTTGCCCCCTAAGGCGGGCTGCAGTTTTTCTCTGATGCAGGTTGCTATAGTGATCATGCACACAGAAGGTTTGCAAGTCTTACTGTCTTAGAGGTGGGAGAGAGCCCTTACCCGCTTTATTATTTTTATTTTATTTTATTTTTTGCATGTGTATATGCATGCACCCGTGCCCTTGTGTGTGCACAAGTGGAGGCTGAGGTTGGTACCCAGTGTCTTCCTTGATTGTTCTCACCTTAGTGTTTGAGACAGGGTCTCTGAACCTGTCCCGCTAATGTGACTAGTCTTGATGGTCAGCGAGCCTCAGGGATCCCCTGTCCCTGCCTCCAGGACTGGTATTACAACCGTGTGTCACAGCCTCCAGCAGTTCTTTTGTTGATGCTGAGGCTCAAACTCGGTTCCTTCTGCTTGCATGGCAGGCAATTCACCAGCATTCTCCCCAGACTCTTGCCTCTGAAATATGGAATCTAGATGCTGCAAGAGCCCTGCAGGGATGTTTGACCCAAGGGAGACCTGGGTGATGGCCTGCCTGACTCTTGTCTTGGATACTGCTGGGGAGGGCCATGCCCTCTAGTAGTGTATGTGGGGGGTGTGACATCAGTGTCACTTCTGACCCATAGCTCTTTCTGAGAGTTCTGCTGGTTTCCATTTTCCTTGGGGATGGGGAGGCAGGGTAGGGGTGGAGAAGAACCTTCCTGCCTCAGGAATCAGCTGAGGTAGCATAACGAGCAGTGATGACCCGGGCACCAGCTCGCATTCCTTCGTGTGACTGTCTTGGGAAGGACAAACCTTTCACAGGCTGGGAGACTCATTTTCCCCCCCATTATAAACTAGTCAGCTCTGTGAAAGTGTCCCCTTCCCTACCCAGAGCTCCCTGTGAAGTAGGAGGTCCTTGGCGTGCCCAGGTGTATCCAGCCGTGGAATTCAGGCCTTGGTTTCCCCAAGTTTCTAGAAAGTTCCCTTCAGCTAGTTCTCTAACCCAGCTGATGGCGTCCACCTGTGTCCCTGCAGGCGGCTGAGCTACAGGAGAACGACAGGCACCCTGCCAAGCCCCCAGAGCTTCAAAAAGCCCCCCTGTGAGTAGAGTGGTGGAGGTGGAATGCGGGAGGGGTGGAAGAAACTGACACTGAGTTAGAGGGAGGGTCACCAGAGGCCCTGTCTGAGCCTGCAGACCTCCAGAGGAAAGAGAAGGTGGGGAGAAGCATCGGGAGGGGAGGACAGCTATCCTAGAGAAGAACTTCTGTATTGGGGTCCATGGATACCCCTGGGGACATGTTAACACCATGCCAAGCTGGTATGCAAGCCTCTGTGGGTGTCTGTTTGGAAGAGAGTGCCAAGCTCTCTTCAGCTGCCTAAGGAACACTTTGAACTTGAACATTAAAATTTGCTGATATGGATGAACATTAAAATATGCTGAATTGGGTGTCCACGCATGACTGTATGCATTGTAGGATTAGCTATGAATGTACCCCAATTGTAAAATTGCTTAAACCATTATGTTCTTTTGTGACTATTTATTTTTTGGTAACTCAATTGTGTGGTTCTCGAGTGTGAACTTTTAGATAATATTTTGTCTCAGTGTCTCTTTCATGTACTCTCCGTGAAACCCTGGGCCACCGATTGAATAACCCTGTATGGTCCAGGACAGTGTGGCCCAGAGAAGCCAAGAGGTTGCACACCTTGCTAAGTGTCCTTGCACCTCTGTGATAGCGTTGGAGGTTCCAACAGAAGATGCTCTTTAGTTCTGAATTTGAGATAGACACCAGTTGCTGTCTGGTGCATCCCGTAGAAGCATGCTAAGAACGTCTTGTTGGCTGGCGTTTGTTGGAAATTCTCTGTGCACCTTGCCCTGAAAACAGGCTTGCCTACTGCCTTGTGTTTTTGAAGTATTATTGTTTGGTCGTGGCAGGTCCAACCCCTGGGCCCAAGGCAGGTGCTCTACTGCGGAACCATTCCCCCTCCCCTGCCTCTGGTCACAGTGGCCCTGTGAAGTGGGTGGGATGGCAGCCTCACTCCCGAATGGAAGCATGGAGAGTCATAAGGTTCCACGAGGGTTTTAGAGGTCTTTTGGGAAGGGCTCGGATTAGAATCCCTCACAAAGCGGGGCTCTCCCCAAATCTACCCTCTGTTGCTGGTGGCTCCTACTGAGTGAGGGAGGCCTGTTCAGGTACCTGCATTTTCCTAGCAGGCCTTAGACTCTAGGAAAGGGGGGACCGGGTTCCTTTCCTACCGTGGGACCTTAGAAATGCCAATGGCCGCATTTCCAAGCAGGGGGGAAGCTGCTGAATAGGTCGGCCAGGAGAAGTCTTTCCCGGGCCATACACTAACTTCCTCCAGCTGCTGATGAGCCGCACACAAGAAGACTAATTAGCAGGGCTGGGGTTTAATAACGCACCACCGTTCAGATCATAGGCTTGTTGGAGCAAGGAAACGGGGCAGATGGAGTTCTCCTCAGGCTGCCGAGGCTGTAGCTGCCTCCCAGCCGCAGGGCTTCCTGCTTCCCTGCACTAATGCTGTCCCATCTGTCTTTTATGCAAACTGCAGATGATCAGCCTTGTGACAAAGGTAGGCCTGGTGTTTGTCCCCCGTGCACATGAGTGAGGCCCCTTTTCTGGGGCCCCTCTGGGGCTGAGGGGGCTGGTTTTCCTCCCCGCACCTGGGTACCTTTGCCCAGATACGCGGGGTGGGAACAGGCTTCAAAGCCTTAGGACCCCTTCCCCCTGTGTCTGGCATTAAAAGGATGATACTGTGACCCCAGTGCTAGGTAAGAGAAGAAACAGGAAGGCAGGGCAAGAGGCGAGGGCTCCCATCTTATTCCTGTGTCCCATCTGGGCTCACAAAGTCGGGGAGGGGGCTTCCTGGCCCAGAATCCCCACCAAGGGCTGGAAACAGAAGAGCTGGTCCCAAGCCACAAAGGTCTTTTCTAGACCCTCCCCCATCACTATCACGGAGGGCTCTGCCCGACTACCTAGGGGCTGGGTCCCTGTGGGCTTAAGGGTGTATCCAGTGTGACTTACTCCCCTCTCTGTTTGGTTTCCAGAGACCTGTGACTGTGAAGGGTACCCCAAAGGGCACTATGTGGGTGAGTTGCTCCCCTGGAAACCCTCCAAGCCCAGGCCCAGGCTCCCCCAGGAACCTGACAGGAGCTGCTGAGCCTGGGGGACCCTCATCTCATTGCCAAGAATTAGTCAGCAGAAGGCAGTGCCCACTCAGGCCCAGGGCCCGCCCAGCTGCAGAGCTGGAGAGAGACGCAGAGCCTTACGCTGACACTAATTTTATCTTCATCGTTGTAATTGGAGTTTATTCAGTGTGGGCCTCACCACCACACACAGCGAAGGGATTTTGTTTTCCCCAGCGTTTCCCCCTCAAAGGTCATAGAAGACAGGCAAATGTCTCCCAGTGTTTATTCAGATGTGATTTCAAACTCAACAGAACTAGTCAGAGAACTCCTGGGTACTCCACGCCAGACCTGAGAATTTTTAGCTCCCCGAGCCTTTCTCGTTTCTTTTGCTGCCGCCTGTCACGTGAGAGTTAATGTACACATCCTGCCCCTGTACCCCCGAGCACCTCAGTGTGTATTTCCTATGGACAGGACATCCTGTGACATGACTTCAGGATAGTGATCAAATCTTGGACATTTCCTCTGCATAGAATTCTATTGTCTTATATGCTGTTATTAAAATGTCACCAGTTATCCCAATAATGTCCTTTATTTCCCCTGGTCTGGGATCCAATCTAGACCCATTCACTGCCTTTGAACATCAGAGTTCCCATTTTACAGATAAGGAAATTGAGGCTCAGAGAAATGAAGTGACTTATTAACCCAAGGTCAATCACACAGCAAGGAACACAGTGACCTTGAGCTCCAGACTTTGGGTATGGGGGCCACCTGTGTGGCCAGCGCAGGAGGCTGGGCAGCCAGGCGCCCAGCCTGACCTCCGTACTTGGCTCCCTGTAGAAGGCCTTTATTGGGGAATCTCAGAACCAATGCCACCTTGTCCTTTTTCCCTCCTCAAGCTGGTCTTCGGAGAAGCTTCCGGCTAGGCTGCAGGGAGCGGCTGGGTGGCTCACAGGAGGCAAAGGTGACTGCAGGAGCTGAGTCTCAGGAGCTGCTGACCTATGAGGAGGTGGCCAGGTACCAACAGCAGCCTGGGGAGCGGCCCCGCCTGGTGGTTCTGATTGGTAGGTGATATCCTGAGTTTCCAGGTGGGCTGGCTTCCTCAGGCGTGGTGAGGAAGGAGTTCTGTAGGGACTGAGGCAACCTTCCCTTTGTTCCAGGGTCTCTGGGAGCCCAACTGCATGAGCTGAAGCAAAGGATGGTGGCCGAGGACCCCCAGCATTTTGGTGTCGCAGTTCCACGTAAGAGGGCTTGTGTGCGCGCGAGCATGTGTGCACGTGTGCCCATGAATGCTTTCCAGGGACTGAATTCTTCATGCTCATCTTGACCTTTTTGGTACTTTGGGTGTGAGCACCCACTAGACATTGCCTGTTACATATATGTTATATACATATGGGGGGGGGGCCTCGGAATGATGGGAAGAGTCTCGTTCTCGGGTGACAGCTGCAGCAGCACCTGCCTAGTGTCTGACTGGGGAGGGGAGTGAGTCCAGAGCACACTGGCTACCATGAAGCCCAGAGCTGGTGAGGTGGAGGTACTGCCAAGCATTCCACTGAGAGGGGGCGCTATTGCTGTAGCTGGATGGTAATTGGGTCGGTGGCTGGGCACACTCCTGGGTATTGTCAGTGGTTCTAATCCCGAAGGCAGTGGGTTGCCTGGTTGTGGGTGTGGGTCTTGGTTCTAGAGGAGGAGAGAAGAATGAGAGCCAGGTCCTAAGCCCTTACCTGTAGAAACTAGGCTGCCCCCTACCAGTACCCTAGAGAAGAGGTACTATAATGCCATGCTAAGGAGGAGAAGCCTCAAGGCTCAGGGAGGTTAAGTATCACATATAAGCCTAGCATCGCACAGGGGGAATGGGGTGGAGCTAGGCTTGGAGCCCAGGTCATTGCTAAGTGTGTGGCTACATGGCCACTTCCCATGCTGCTCCATGTCCTGTTTCTCTAAGTGCCTTTCCTCATTCTCTGGCCTCCTGGCCCTGGAGGGATGCAATGTGGATGTCTGGTCACCATGGGGAGGGAATGTGGGACAGGAATGATCTTTTCCAGAATGTTTTGGGGAGGGGTAACTACAGAGACTTCCTTAGACCGCATTGTTCTTCCTGATCCCAAGGCCAACAGCCAAGCCCACGTCCAACAGCCGAGCCCACAGCCATCAGAATCATCTAGAACATTGTCCGAAGTAGAGGAGACTTAGGGGAGGTGTTGGGTCTGTGGAGGCCACTCTGGAAGCACAGCTCTGAGGACTTTCGGAGGCCCCAGCCTTTAAGTCTCAGGTGGATGAAGCAGGATGTCAGGAGTTCCTCACACATACACTTCTGTCCCTGCGAAGCCTATATTCAGAATTCAGGCCTGCCTGTTTCCAGGCACCCACAGCAAGGTGAAGTCAGGCAAGGCTTCCCAGAGGTGGTGACTTTTATGTTAAATGTTGAAGTATAAATAGAAGTTTTCTGAGCGGAGAAGAAAGGAAGCGTTTGCTGTACAGAGGGAGGAGCCTGTGCTGAGAGTTGATGGTGTGACCCAAGGTAGCTCTGCTAAGGACTGGGAACGTTAGTGTGGCCAGTGAGGCAGGAGAGGGAGCTGCACTGGAGGTTGGGCACATCATGAGGGGGCTCGTGGGCTCCTGAAGATGCTTAACATCGAATCAGCAGATAAAGGTCTGAAGACAGTGATGTGGGAAGGGGCCCTTAGCAACTCTTTGGGGGATTGCCCTGATGCCACCTAGAACTGTCTTCCCAGTTCCCCTGTCTTCTGGGCATCCTCAAGGCTGGGTAACTGTCTTCCCAGTTCCCCTGTCTTCTGGGCATCCTCAAGGCTGGATAACTGTCTTCCCAGTTCCCCTGTCTTCTGGGCATCCTCAAGGCTGGATAACTGTCTTCCCGGTTCCCCTGTCTTCTGGGAAAGCTCGGTGTTGCCCCTCACGTCAGTCACCCTTCTCTACATAGTGAATTTGAGGCCAGTCTGGGTTATGTGAGATCCTGTCTGAAGAAGGAGGGGTGCTCCTTTGGCCTGGATGAAAGACTTGTGTGCTTTGAGGACACTTGATGAATGGAAGTGGCTGGTTCTTGCAGAGATCAGTGATGAGCTCTGGGGAAGGGGTGCAGGCTTGCTGCTCTTCTTGGCCCGGCAATTCTTCTTTCTTTAAAAGACACCACCAGACCCCGGAAGAGCCATGAGAAGGAAGGGGTGGAGTATCACTTTGTCTCCAAGCAAGCGTTCGAGGCTGACTTGCATCATAACAAGTATGTTGCTTCATGAGCCAGTGGGCCCTCTGGTCCGTGATTCTCTGTGATCATCCGATTTTATATCAGTATTTGACCCCACGGGTGGGCTTCTGGAAGGATGGGGGAAGCAGGAAGTGGGAGAGATGTCTTATTGCAAAGTCTGCTTTGCCTTTTTTTCTTTCTCTCTCTCTCTCTCTCTCTCTCTCTCTCTCCCTCTCTCTGTTTTTCTCTCTCTCTTTCCTTCCCTCCTTCCTTCCTTTCTTTCTTCTTTCATGCCTATGTGTATGTGTGTGAATTCTGGATTGCTCAGAAACTGAAGTCTTTCCCCTTTGATGGTGTTTTAGGTTCCTGGAACACGGTGAATATAAGGAGAATCTCTATGGGACCAGCCTGGAGGCCATTCAGGCTGTTATGGCCAAAAACAAAGTTTGCTTGGTGGATGTAGAACCAGAAGTGAGTTCCTGGTCCATCTGGGCGTGCGAGTCTATGGAACCTGTAACCCAGGGTGGCTATCCATTCTATAGAACTCTTTAGAACAGTCTAAGAACGTTTTAGCTCCGAACACTGATGTTAGGCGTGCTTGATCCTCTCCTTGAGAAATGGATGAAATCTTTTTTAGCCCCAAACATGGCCTGCTACGGTCAAGTACAGGATTAATTTGAGGGAGCCCAGGAACCCGCTGAGTAGCTCAGATATCCAGGATAGTAACCCTTACATGGGGCAAATCATGCAGTAGACTGGCTATAGCTATGGCGGCACACGCCTGTAGTCCCAGAACCTGGGAGGCTGAGGCAAGATGATGGTGAGTTTAAGATAAGCCTGGGCTACACACTAAGTACTTGTCTGAAAAGGGGTGGGAGTGGGTTATAGAGATGGCTTGGTATCTCATGCTCGCTGGTCTTCCACAGGCCCTGAGTTCAGTTCCTAGATCCCATGTCAAGTGACTGCAACTCCAGTTCCAGGGGGATCTGACGCCCTCTCTGGACTCTGCCGGCATTGCATCCGCAAATGCACGTTAGCCACACTCAGGCACACACATATATGTTTTAAGTCCCTGGCTCTGCTTGGCCAATTGTAACAGGACAGAAAACTGTTAGTGTGTATACACAGGCCACGCTGTTGCTCCTCTCCTTCCTTGCCAGTCTTCTGCCTCTGCAATGGGAACAAGTATATGTAGTGAAGGAAGAGTTGGGGAACGCCTGACCTACACAGACCTTCAGAGCCTGTCCCGGCTCCCTGCGGCTGGACATCTGCAGGCTCTGCAGGCATCTGGACGTCTTCTTAACCTTGTCTTTCAGAAAAACTCCCTCACTTTGAACTCAACATAAGGATTTTTTCCCCTACTACAGGAACAGAGTTTTGTTGTTACAGTACAGAATGTGCGCTTTATTTTACCGGAGTCACCTTGAAACATATTTCTAAAAGCACAGCTTGCCCGGAAGGGAACAACTCACTTATTTGCACTCACTGTGAGTTGGTAGTTGATGTCTAGAAGCTGGAGAGATGACTCAGCGCTAAGAGCACACGCTGCTCTTGCAGGAGGCCAGAGCTCAGTTCCCAGCTTTCACGCTGGGTGCCTCACAGCTGCCTGTAATTCTAGCTCCAGGGGATCCTTCACCTCCTTGGGCCTCTTCGGGTACCTGCACTCATGCAGGTGTAAGTGTGTGTGCTTTTACAAAGGGTCACTTCTTGGCACTACATGGTAGCTCCCAAACTGTCTGTAACTTCAATCCTAGGGACTCCAACCTGTCTTTGGGCCTCTAAGGGCACCAGGCACACACAGGCAAAACATTCATCCACATAAAAATAAACCTTTTTAAAACTATCAAAATACAAATGTCAAAGATTTGTTTTAAATCCTCATCTGATTTTTATGTGCTTGAGTGTTTTGCCTGCCTCTGTGTCTGTGCACTACGTGTATACGGTGCCTGAGGAGACCAGGTGAGGGCATTGCATCTCTTGGAACTGGGAGTATAGACAGTTGTGAGCACCATGTGGGTGCTGGGAAATCGAAACTGGGTCCTCTGGAAGAGCAGGTCAGTCAGTACTTTTAAGTGCTGAGTTATTGCTCCAGATCCTCCAAGATCTTTGGTTTTTTGTTTATTTGTTTTTCCAAGACAGGGTTTCTCTGTATACAAAGAAGCTGTCTACAGCACTGACCGTCCTGCCTTTGTAGACCAGGCTGGTCTAGAACTCAGAGATCCTCTTGTCTCTGCCTCCCGAGTGCTGGGATTAAAGGCGTGCGCCACCATGCCCAGCCTCTGAAATATTTTTTGAAACACGGTTTTATTGATTTTTGAGTGTATGCAGATAGTGCATAGAAATTTAATTCCGGTGTGGACAAATGGAGGCCTTTACCCTGTGCAGAAGATACACTCTGTTAGCAGTACGGCTTGCTAACAGAAATCTCTACTTGCTCCCAGTGACCCCATAGATCGTCACTTCCTTTACTCTGCACACCTTTGCTGCTTTGAGTATCAGAAGGTGGCCCGTGGAACAGCCCAGTCACACACAGTGTAGTTAGATTGATGGTGGAGGCTAAAACCTATGCATGCTGAGCCTTGAACCCTTGGCTCAGCTATGGGCTGATCCGAAAGAGCCCAAGGAGGTTACCCGGGTTGGAGAGTCGCAGCTAAGAGAGACTCTCCGCTCTCAAGTAGCCTGTCTGGCCCAGGGGAGTTCAGTGTCAAAGGATCAGAGACTGCAGCTAGTCTGCCCAGTAGAAGTCCATCGTCTCAGTACTGACCACCGGGACCCTTGAGGATGAAAGCCTAGGATGACTGAGCTTCCAGAATGTATGTGTTGCAAAAAGCGTATTGTCTTCTGGAATTTCTTTTTAGGCACTAAGACACCTGAGGACCCCTGTGTTTAAACCCTATATTATATTTGTAAAACCTGCAATTCAGGAGAAAAAGAAGACGCCGCCTGTGTCTCCAGACTCTGAGGGCACAGCAGCTCGGCTTGTAAGTTTCAAGTTGATCATGTCTCCTTTCAAAGGAGGGGGGCTGCACCTAGCTGACTGTGGGTCCTCCGAGGAAGAGGGACAGAGGACATGCTTTCTGCGTAAGGCTGTCGTTAAGATCCCTTTTACAAGACTAAGAGAAGAAGAGAAGATGGTCATGTCGCCAGAGGGTTCAGGGTGGGTGGGGACCATGCCTTCTAATTTAAGAAGGACATCTTTCGCCACCCTCTGCAACCTCATGCCAACATCCTCCCCTACAGGTCATTGTGCAGGGTGTGTGTGTGTGTGTGTGTGTGTGTGTACACAAGTGTGAATATGGAGGTTAGAGGTCAGCTTTAGGTGTCGTTGCTCACAAGTTGTCACCTTGGTTTTCATTGGTTTTGTTCTACGAGTGTGTGTGTGCACTTGCTTGCTTGCAGCAGTGGGTGAGGCAGGACTGAAGGTCCAGGGGCTGTGTGGAGACACTACAGAGGGCTCCTGAGTATACAAATAGTCCTGAAAGAGAGAAGAAAGGATTGCAAAGCACTTCCCTGTAGAACCTAGGTTTTTTCCCCTCTTGACAGATATAAGAAGAAATGAGCTCAATATTTTCTTAGGTTTCCAGCATTTAAAAAAAAAAATGTCTGGGCCTTCATCACTCATCCCTGAAATCACTGATGCTGCAGAAAAGTAGGAACTGATGACAGGGGGAAAGAATATTTTGGAAGTAGGTCTCCATGGGGGAGGCCAGAATCCTACCTTTCCATACAGCGTTGTGAAAACAGGTCCCTAGAAACACAGAGGGCAACAGAGGACTGCAGAGGGACAGAAAGAGACATCGGTGAAGCCAACAACAAAGTTCACATTGTATTTTCTCAGGTAGATCCACCATTTTCTCCACAAACCAGGCTCGTTGTCTGTGCTACACGATTGAAATTCCAGTTTCTAGGGACTCTGCATGAAGCCCCACCAGGCCGCAGAAGGCAGAGTTTCTGTGTAGATCTTAATGCGAGGTGTTGGGAAAGAAGCGAAGTGCCCTAGGAGATGGGGTATTTGAACAGAGTTGTCCCAAGGCTCTCCTAGGTCATCCTCCCTTCGCTATCCTGCTAACCCAGCCCTGGTGTAAAACATAGAATCAGTACTCTGCTACTAGTCAATAGAACTCCTCTATTTTTTGGAGACAGGGTCTTGCTTTGCAGCCCAGGCTGGATTAGAACTCATGATCCCCTTGCCTTAAGCTTCCCAAGTGCTGGGATTGCTGGTGTGTACCATCACATCCAGCTTCACACCTCTTTGGAAACATTTGGGGCCAGGAACATGATCTTGACTTTTATACACAGATATAATAAGGTATCCCGATGGTTCTCAGTTCAGAGGTCCTCAGGGGATATTTTGTGAGTGAGAGAGTGATTGTGTCTGCTGCCCACTGATTTCCTTCTGTGTAATACGCTGCTACTACACTCTGGTCTCACGCTCACAGTTAAGGTTATCTACAGGACACAGCGATCCATTCGACACAATAAATTAAATGCAGGTTCCGACGGGGCGTGTTCCCCCAGGCCCCATACTGTCCCTTTCCTTGCAGGATGAACAGCAGCAAGAGATGGCCGCCTCTGCTGCCTTCATTGATCAGCACTATGGGCACCTGATTGACGCTGTGCTCGTGAGGGAGGACCTGCAGGGCATCTGCAGCCAGCTCAGAGCAGTCCTAGAAAAGCTGAGCAAGGACACTTACTGGGTACCCATCGATTGGGTGAGGTAACTTCATCCCATAGCATCCCGTCTGGCCGGACCTTGAAGACCGTATTGTCTAGCCTCCCTCGTGTGTTGTCAAGTACGGAGAGGGGCAGGATTTCCCACAGACTGTCGTCACCGAGCATTAGTGGGAAGCCTCATTTGGCGTCGGCAGGATTTCCCACAAACGGTCGTCACTCAGTATTAGTGGGAAACCTTGTTTGGTGTTGGGTTTTTGTCTGTCTTTCTGCACTGCACCCTTTCACGAGTTGAGTTGAAAGGGGCAGTTCATAGAATAACATGTCATCCATTAAAAATCTCGAAGGCAAGTTGGCCTTGATCCTTTGTACCAAAGCTATGTAGCCACTGTCTTTTGGGGGTGGTGGTGGTGAATTTATATAGTGATTCACAGTGATGATTCAGCTTTATAAATATGACACTTCACTGGTCTAACTTTGTTGGGAATTGTTTTCCCCAAGGGGATCTTCTGTGCAAATGACCTGTCTTGCAGCACTGAAATATTACTTAAAAAAATTTTTTTTTGGTAGTGCTTGCCTGGTGGTAGAGAAATTGGTTCCCTGCCTTTCCACATAGTTTGTATACATGATGTTTGTCCTGCAAGACAGAGGCACACGTAACAGTCCACATGGCCCACGAGTCGGTTCTACCATGCAGCAGTGCCTTCGGGGACTCTTGAGGAATGTCAGGCTGCCTGTCCCCTTTCTAAATACTCCCCACGCCCCTGGAAGTGAGTCCTTGCTGTGTTTGATTTGTCCTGTAATATCTTCTCTCTGTCATGCCTTGGTCCTAGGCTTTCTGTTTTCAGTTTGGGGCTCCTGTTGTGCTAGATTGTGGGGAATCAGAAGACTTCCATCTGTCAAAGCTGTGTCTCAGCCACAATAAATCAGTCCTGTCGAAAAAGTGTGTAGATTCCAAGTGTGGCTCTGTCGTGTTGTCGCTAAGCAGCAGTGACTTCTGAAGGGACTGTGACAGGTCATGGCTACTCCGAGAGTTGTACTTCTGATGAGCCGCCAGCGTATGTAAGTTTGTGCCGAGGCGATGCTGAGCCGTCTGGCGCATTATCTTTGTAAATACACCAAGCCGACGATGTAGCAATGTTACCATTCCCATTTTACAACTGAGGAAAAAAATGAGACTTAGAAACTTTAAATCATGTGTCCAAGTTCATACACCTGAAAAACAGTCCAAGGCTCAGGAGGTTTGTCTATCCATAAAAGTGCTTACCTGCAAGTTTAATGACTTGAGTTCAAATCCCCAGAACCCATTTGTAGTGTGTTTTCATAACCACGGCAGTTTAGTCAGGAGATCGGAAGTGGAAACAGGAGACTCTCTGGAAACTTTTGAACTGGCTAGTTTGCACTTACACCTGTGCACACACATACACATTGTGCACTTACACACATACTAAGCATGCACAATGATACGACTCTATATATTTGAGCCTCAAAATTCCTTACAAGAGGTTTGATCCTTAACCACAATGCTATACCGCCTCATGCTTTTGTGCTTTCTCCAATGGGGGCTCCCTAATAAAGTGACTGACCTGTGAGGAGTGTATTCATAGATAAACAGTGTGCAGTTTGCTTGCATCTTCTAGGACCAGAGAAAGGATGCCGTTTGTACACATGCAAGATACCTTATCCCCGAAACAGGCGAGGCAGACGGCGAAGCACCAGGCAGGCTGTTTGCTAACTTTCTTGCGTGAGAACTCTAGCAGCTCTTTGGCTTATCCCAGGTCACGCACCAACCAGGATCTCATTTGTAGGACTTCCCAGCCAAGGGCAGGTCCTTCTTACTGGATTTGTAGCCAGTGAAACAGCGACTTAACTATTTCCCAGAAATCCAGGCGCGGCAGGGGAGCGGGGAGGGGGCTGCCTCATGAAGGGTGATGGAGAACTGGGATCTTGAGTCCACTCCCAGGGAGATGACACCGTAGGAAGAGCTCATTTCTGGCCACTTCACATCTGCAGCCTGGTGGCGACCTTACCTGGTTACAGGAAGCCCGATGTGACTTGCCCTCTGGTATTGGGCACGCATGTCTAGTATACTAAGGAATCATTTTCTGCTTACTCCTTATTTTGAGCCAATTCTCAGATGAGAGGTGATAGTAACCCAGTGTGGATTGTGAGGTAAGGTATGAAAATGGGCTTGATTTATTTGCAATTAAAGTGTCTTCCCTTCTCCCAGGACAAGTTATGTTCACAGCTCTTTGTCTGCTAGGAGAACCGTGGGAGCAGAGAGGATAGGACCCCGGGGACAGGTGTCATCTGGAAGATGTGTTATTGCCGTTTATCAAAGCAGAGAATGTTGTTACAAAAAAATAAATGTACCACTTTGCAAGTATGTATTGGTGGAGTGTGTGTAAACCCAAACCCAAGTCCAGTTCAACCGGCAGTATGTGTGTTCTGAGCGCCCCCTACCCCTGCAAAAAGGTTGGCAAAAGTTCCTCACTCCTGACTTGCAAGCCAGTACAGCTCTATGCCTCCCGAGAAACACTGTCTCATTCCTGGGGCCTTTAAACACAGTTTAGTCCTTGGTCTGAGAGAATGTGAGCTCTAGAGGACTTCTCAAGGTAACAATGTTAAATGAATCCTGTATGTGTTACCACTGCCCAACCTGCCCCCGTAGCAGACATCACTTATCGATTACAGAACTCATCTGCCTTTGGCTCTTTCCACATGGTGTTTAGCATCAGAGCATGGCATCCTTGATCCAGTGATGTAGTTTTCCCTGCCTCCCAGCCCGTTCCTTGCAAAAGAGAGATTTGAGGTTATAACCCCTGCCAGTCACGGCTCAGATGTGCTTAGCCTCAGCCAGTAGTGCTTTTGCTACTCATGTCTCCCCAGTGCTTTCCAGCGTGTGAGGAGTTCAGCTGTGTACAGACTCAGCCTAGTGCCACGCCAGCCATCTGTGCCACCAGACTCAGGATCAGACGTCCAGTGTGTGCGGTGATGTGCGTGTTTTGCCTTCGCATATGTCTGTGTACCATGTGGGTGCTGGGAATCGAATCTGGGTCTCTGGAAGAGCAGCCAGGGCTCTTAACTAGTGAGTATCCTCTCCAGATCCTTTTCAAGACGGATCTCAGTAGGCTGGCCTCACCCAAAGTGGCCTTGAATTAGTGATCCTCCTGCCCCTGCCACCCAAGTACAGGGAATACAGGTATAACAATGACAGCTTGTTATGTATTTAACAGTTACAGACTTGAGCTTACATATAAAGTCCATTTTGAGATCAGACAATTAAGATCCAATCAACTGCATTTGTTTGGCGGATTCATCCACTTCCCCTTCCATTTCTCTAACCAGCTTTTCCTTTAGAGTTAGGCCAGTGGTTTCAGAACAAGGTGGTGTGGAATCATTTTCATTTTTATTTCCACCTCTAAACACAGTTAAACACCCTGCATAAAGGAAGTCTGAGCACCGTAAACGCTGCCTAGAACAGAGTTGGGGTCTCTGGCAATGTGGTGGGTCCCCTGCACTTGCTTCTGTGTCCCTCATAGCCCCGGAGACCAGGCTATCGCGAGGCCTCACACGGAACCAACCTCAGGCAAAGACAAAAAAAAAAAAAAATAAGTGAGAAAATAAGAAACGCTTGCTTCCCAGGTGAAGAAAGAGAAGTCCGTTAGAGTTCCCGGCACTCACTTCACACGGGCACCAGTTGTCCCAGTTCATTGGCAGCAGTGACAGCGGCCCTCTGCCTTGGTGCCCTCCACCCAGTGACACAGAGACCGGAGCCACGCAGTGCCTGCTTGCCCTCGGCAGTGTCACCACACAGCTCGCAGAAGCCCTTTCAACCCATTGGAAGACACCCCTGGGGGCCAGGCAGAAGCCCTGGAGCCCTGGAGAAGGAAGCAAACAGAACAGCTTTGCAAGTTGTCACCTTGGAACTTAAGCCCACAAGAGAAGGCAAGACCCTCAGCTCTGTGCCTAAGCAGGACGACTACAACCAAGACAGAATATCGGAATTGGATCCTGAGTTACCCAGATGTTCAGAATGCAGCTGCACCAGCCAGTCCTACCCCAACCAGGAAAGCCATGTCCTAAACAAGGAGACACTCAACTTGCAGGTACGCCCACGCGGTGCACAGAGACATCAATAATTAGTTTCCCCCAAACAAAACAGAAAATGGCAAACCTGAGTGATGACACAGACCTAAAAGAGAACACGTCGAAAGTCGCGGAAATAAGGAAGTAAGATGGCTTGGCGGGTAAAGGCATTTGCCTCCGGAGCCCAGTGGTCTCACTTCCGTCCCTGGAACCCAGGTAAAGATGTCAGGAGAGACCCTGACTCCACAAGGGTGTCCTCTGACCCCCACACTTATGCCATGGTACATGTCCCCAAATTGTACACAGAAACAGGGACACACACTAAATTTTTTTTTTTTTTTTGGTTTTTCGAGACAGGGTTTCTCTGTGGTTTTTTTTAATTATGGAAGCAAAAAATAAACAAAACTTAAAACTTGGATGAACTCAAAAGTATGATATTTATAGCATCAAAGTCTGAGCAGACGACATAAGGGTCATGGCGGTAATATTCAGGGAAACAGCAGCTGAGCTGACACCCTCCCCCCCCCCAATTGTGGAGAAAGACAGCCTCCAGCTCAAGAAGTGGATCAAATCAGATTTCAGTATGAGTATGTGTGTGTCGAGGGCAGAGGACAATCTCAGCGGCAGACCTCACTTCCCGCCTTGTTTGAGACAGATCTCTTTGTTGTTGGCTGTTGTGTGCACCAGACTAACCTACCCTTGAGCCGCTGGGAATTCTCTCATCTCTGCCTACCAGTGGACTGGAATTACAGACACAAGCTTGCACACTTCCTGCTTAATCTCCTAGAAACTGAAGATTAAGGGGGAAGAAGACCAACCTTAAAAACAGTAAAAATAGCCAGGAAGGAAAGGAATTCAGGTTCTATTTTTACACTGTGAAGAGGTGGCAAACACGTCACGATCCAAGGACAAAGAACTATTAGTGTTTGAAGCCTGTGTTCCGAGAGACTATCTTAGGAATGAGGGGGATTGACGGTGCTCTCAGAGGAGCAAAACCAAACTGGAGACCTGCCCCAAAGGCAGCTCTAGACAAAGAAATGAACCAGGGAAGGAGCAGAACTTCCCAGAGGGATGAACCAGCCTCACAGAAGGAACTAGAACAGACTCACACCTTTTCAGTTTCTTTACCCCCGCTGCTGGGCAAAACAAAGGTAACCAGCATCTGACGTTGTGCTGGATACTTCTGCAGGAATCACTTGTATTTAAAAGGATGGAGGAGGGACTGAGAAGATGGTTCAGTCATTAACGCACTTGCCACGCAAGTTTGAAGACCTGAGTTCAAATTCCCAGAGCCCAAATAGGGTTGGCATGGTAGCCTGTGTCTGTAATTCCAGCCCACTGGTAGGCAGAGACAAGAGAATTCCCAGCTGCTCAGGGATAGGTTAGTCTGGTGCACACAACAGCCAACAAAGGGATCTGTCTCAAACAAGGCGGGACGTGAGGTCTGACACAGATTGTCCTCTGCCCTCAACACACACATCATTTAAAAAGTAGAGAGAGCCAGGTGGTTGCGCACACCTTTAATCACAGCATTCGGGAGGCAAAGGCAGGAGGATCTCTGTGAGTTTGAGGCCAGTCTGGTCTACAGAGCAAGTTCCAGGACAGGTTCCAAAGATACAGAGAAACCCTGTCTCGACAATCAAACAAACGAAAGTACAAATTAGGTCCTGAGGAGATGACTCAGGTAATAAAGTGTTTGCAGCATAAGCTGAGGACCCACGTTTGAGTCTTTAGCACTCACATAAAGCCAAGTGTGGGGTTGGCACAGAGACGGGCAGATCTCTGGAGCTCAGGGGCCGGCTCTCCTAGCTCAGTCAATGAGCTCTGGGGTCAGTGAGAAATGCTGTCTCAAAAACAAGTGATTAAAGGAGACACCGAACATCAATCAGACTGGGTCTCCATGCACCGGTTTGTGTGTCTGTCCCTCTCTCTCTCTCTCTCTCTCTCTCTCTCTCTCTCTCTCTCTCACACACACACACACACACACACACACACACATATCCCCACATGAACACACAGGTGTGTGTGCAGAATACGAATAAAAGGCTCATCATGTTCCGTTTGCCTGCCCTGTTTTATGTGCCAAGCTTTATTGGAACATCGTAAGATGGGGCATGCCGTCACTCTGGAGTGTCTTGAGATTCTCAGCAGCCCAGAAATCCTGGGTCTTCTCTGTGTCTTTCCCATGGTGAGTAACCTTGTGTCCAGAGCAAGGGTTGGGGGAAGGAATAAGACAAAGAGGAGGCAGAGGAGGAAAGGGGGGTGGATATCAACTGTGGCATTGTTCTTTGGAGAGCCTAGGTATCCATGTCTCTTCCTTCCTCGAAGGCCCAGAGCATGTTACTAACTGTGTCTAATACGAGGCTCAAATATCAGTGCCTTTTACTAGTCGTGGACCTTAGACCTCGTTTTCAATTTTTTTTTTAAATTTAAAACATTTTAAAAATTATCATCACGGGGGTGGGGCTCATGTGTCACAGCACACATACGGGGGTGAGGACAACATTTGTGGAGTGGGTTTTCGCCTTCCACCTTTACGTGGGCTCTGGAGATCGCACTCAGGACTTCAGGCTCACGCCTTTACCTGCTGAGCCATCTTTCCCTTGCCTGGCAATGTCTTAGTGACACAGATCACTCCCTTTAGACTCCCATAAAGCCTCAAAGCTGGTGATACAAAAGCACAGTTCCCAGAAAAGTCAGAGCTCTGAGCTCCCTCAACGGCTCTCCATCTCCTCTCAAGCTGAGCCCTCGTCGGCCATTTGTGGAGCTGTCGGGACTTCGGTAGTAAAGTGCTA